GTACTCGCCATGCTCCACAAACTTTCCTGCCTCGATGTCGGCGTCCATTTTTTCGCGCGCCACAAAGATGTACTCGCGTCCAGCCACCTCGCCGGTGCGCATGGGTCTGGTGGTGTCTGTAAGAAGTAAATATCTGTAACTCTGCCATAGATGGAGGGCCACAAATCGACTTACATGGCACTGGGCTACGGAACTTCTCGGGATCACGGGCTATGAGACGGCGGCGCAGCTCATTCCGTCCCACGCCGGGGGCCCCGATGAGCACCACTGGCCTGAAGATGCCGGGCCGGGGATAGAGCTTGGCCACCTCCTCGTAGGTTGCGATCTGCTCGCGATCGAAGTCGTCGTTCTCTGTCAAGTCGTACATGATCTTTTTAGTCTTGGGCTGGCGGCACGAGGAGCTGCTGCTGCTCGTGTGCAGTCGCGGGGAGCCGGGTGGGGTGGTGTTGCAGAGTGAGGCGCATGAACCGGCTGAGTGATGGTTGATTGATGGCGAGGGATGATGGCGGCCAATTGTTAGTCAGATTGCAGATGAACGGATTAAGGGGCGACATGAAAGTAGATCAATTTCAGTCTGGGCTTGTGCTTGGGCATGTGGCGGGACAGCGACAGGGACTGGAATGTTGGATGCTTACGCTTCGAGTCCAGATCGTTGCCATCCCGCTGCGTGCGCTCGTGCATGATGCGGCGCTCCTGCAGAGCCCGACTCGGGATGAGGCCAGCGCGGGCTGAGCGCTCCTGCTCTCTGCGTGCCTGCCACCAGTAGGCATCGTCTTGGGCCACAATGTGGAGGACGTCGCCACGCTGGAAGGCCAGGCCCGCCTCCTTGCAGGGTATGTACGGATCCACATCGGGATTGTAGTCGAAATGGGCCTTAACCCGCACCTTGGACTCGCGCTGGGCACCCTTGGCGTCGGCGGGCACCAGCTTGAACGTGATGGTTCCCTCAGAGTTTTGCTAGCAAAGAAAAATACTCTAATGTAATTGGAGTGACTTCAATTGGATCCCTGGGCACTTACGAGTATGGTGAGCACATCGCCGGGTGTCTTGCCTTCGACATTAATGCTGTTGACCTCGATGACCTCGTCGCCGACGTGTATCAGGCCAGAGCGATCGGCGGCGCCGCCATGCATGATTCGAGCAATGATTATCTTGCCCGTTTCCTCGTCCGTCTTTATGGTGGCGCCCTAAAAGTATACAAAATCATTTCAATATTCCACCAATCAAAAGTTGGCTCATCTGTGTTGTGCGAGTGTGTGTGTGTGTGTGTGAGAGTGCGGTTTCCGATGTGTGTGTGTGTATGTTTTGATGGATGTGCGACAACAACAATCAAATGGGGCGGCACACAACCAACAAATTGTATGTGTGCGTGTGTGTCCGTGTGTTCTTTTTTTGTTTGTTGTTTTTTTCTATGGAATACGCGTTTCGTATCCATTTTTGAGTGGTGCTTGGAACGGGATTGGATTTCTTTTGTTGTCGTTTATGGTGGAACTTTTTACAGATTTTATGCTATGGACATTCGTTTACTTACAACAATTGGCTCCGCACTCTGTGCTCCTGTCTGTGTGTTTTTTTAAATTTATTTATTTTATATTCGATTTTTTTTTTTGTGTTTAGCAAATGTTTTTAAGTTGTTTTTTGTTTTTAATGAGATATCGATTCGATCGTATTCGATTTTGGCCGAAAGCAAAATTTACAAAATTGATTAGCTTGGAGTAGAATTGAAATATGTGGAATGCGACGGATGAGACGGATACAATGAGACGACAAATGCATGAGCGGAGGAGCAGTTGACACAGGCAGGGGGGGTGGAAAGTTGGGGAAATGGGAGACAACACAGAGCACTGGCCCCGGAAAGGAGGTGTAGCCAAAAGTAGATGAAGAGTGAAATGGAATGGCGGGGTGGAATGAGAGTGAGAGGATGGGAGATGTGAGCAGCGGCACTCACCAGTGGCTCATTGCTCTTCACCAGCTGCACAATCTTAATGGTCTCCTCGTCCTCGTCCATCTCAAAGGGTGCCTCGGGCAAATGCGGATAGAAGTCCTTCTGGGCAATGGCATCGTGCGCAAACAGTAAATGCTAGAACAAGTCGAAAGGTCAGCACTGCATCTACTTTCCCTTTTGGGAGCCACTCACCTGAACGTGGGCATCCTGCAGCAGGTGGAAGGCCTCCTTGCAGTCATCGCTCAGATGGCAGCGCTGCGATAGTTGCTCCAGCACCTCGTACAGCACCTGGGCAGAGGTGGAGAGCACGGGGGCCAGGCGATCGTCCCGACCCACCTTGGCCACCTTTGTGTGCACATTGACCAGAGCATTCAGCTCCTTGGACTCGAGCAGGGCCTTCAGAAAGTCAATCTCCTGGTCATTGGACAGATTCTCCGACTCCTTGAGCGTGGTAAACAATTTAGACAAAGCTGCAAAGCGAACAAAGGAGATCGATTGAGTTTTGTGCACTTCAGCTGAAATCCTTGGCACGCCACTCACCTGGATCCCAATTGATGTCCGATGCCATAACTGCAGCTAGCATGCTACTCAAACGCTGACAAGACACTACCAATATCCTTGGCTATCCTTTCGGCGCGGCACTGTCACAATAATCGAGTTAACAAAATCAATATTTAGCTGGCTTTAACGGAACGTAGGGAAAGTTTGTCAATTTTGCGCATAAACATGTCAACAGGGGGTGGTGTGAGATGGCTGCCCAAGGATAATGGCACCCCCACAACGACTTCTTTTGCGTCATTCGCCCGGCACAGGGAACGCCGCTAGACACTGGAGAATGTTGCCAGCCAAAGGACAGTACGTATTCGTTACCATAACAACGATTTGCGCTTCATTGAACTTGGTTTGTGGTAAGGATGGTGAGGCAACGGCTATGGCTATGACGATGACGATGGCGACTAACTGACGACACTATTCGCTGCCCCAGCAGCAAAATGCAATTAGCTGGCATTAAGCAGGGCCAAGTAGGTTGCCCCCTGGTTGGGTTTGGCCACTGGCCAGGGTGGGGGGGCAGATGACTGGAGATTAGTGGAAGCGGAATATTTATGGTCACTTTCATCTGAAGGGAAGCAGCGCTCAGTGGCCCAGAATGTTGGCGCCTATTTATGTGCCAACTGCATTCCATTAAGTGTTCAATGACTGAGCTTCCTGTTGCACGGCCATAACAGGACATACTAAGAGCTGTAGCTCTGTAGCTAGAGGTGCCTTGGCCAAGTGCCAGATGTGGGGGCAGAGTTCACTAACACGTTGCCCATTTAACGGGGTCGACCCGCCAGCTAGCAGTCGCGTTGCATGCCAGGCGTTCATTAGTGCCACGTTTACAGTTATTCTCACACGAAACAGGCTGTGGAGCAGGGGTGCAAATTAGTGGCATGACAGAAATAGCGTCTCAAGTTGATGGCCCGGCATTCGCATGATCCGTATGTCCTTCAACTTGCAAAAGGGTTCACATTTCCTCAGGCAATTGCCTTTAATACGCGAGATCTTACACTCCCCCTCTCTCTCTCTACACTGGCCAGAAGTTGACCTTGAACTGCATACTCGCGCGTACGCACAAGCTGCAGCATCATGGCAACAACGTCCTTTCCATGCAGCAACGAAATGTACATACAACACGTAAAAAAAGCAACGACAGCGCGTGGGCGGTTCGTTTCGGGGGATACAGACTGCATTTTTCATCTGCGGGGGTGTACTTCCGATGCAGTTCGGCCAGAAGTCCACCCGAGCAATGCTGCAATTACACTAATTACGGCCAGGACTGACTGAGATATGCCAAGTGGTCTGGAAGACATGCCCTGCTGGGAAGGGGTTGAAAGTGCACTTCACTCCAACAATGGCAGTCATTCCGAGCGTAAGATAAGGCAGGTACACCCACTCACCCCCAGGACACTTGCTCCCACCGCCCACTTGGGGGTTGATTCAAAACTTCAAGTAATTGCAACTACACTAGAGCAAAATGAGTTTAAAGGCTGACAAGCCACAGCAGTCTGGTCACACTGAGCGTGGCGGGAAAAGAACGCGAGAGCGAGAGAGCGAAAATCAAGAGAGCAGCGTAAGAGAGTATTTACAGTTGGAACAATCCTTGTGAATTTGATTAACAGACATCCATCCAACTCGATTTCTTCTCACCTGGTGATTGCGTCCACTGGAGGGGCTTTGTTATCGTTGATGCTGCTGATGGATGTCAATTGGCACTGTTTTTCCGTCTCGGCGTTGTTTTATTTTTAAACAGATTTCCACTTCACTCGCAGACACATACACATGCACCGACAACATGTGAGGCACGACGATTCACTGGGACGGGACTGTGCAGTGTCTGTGATTCTCTATTTTTAGGCAGCTCCACGTCGCGGTGGCCAGTGCTGCTGGGAAAACTTTCAACAATAACCTTTATTTATTTGTTGGTTGCAAATTGAAAGACGACAGGGCCCGGGGGCCAGCAGGTCGACGCAGCGAAGCCAAAACGAAGACTCCGAGGAACGGAACGCCAGCGAGAAATTAATTTTAAGAACAACGAAAAACACGTCTGCAGCAAGCGATGGACAAAATTCGACGGAGATGGCCGCTCTGTGGGCTCTCGGGCTCACCACCAGTGGAGAGAGCCAGAGACCTAACCAAACGAGCGACGTGACCGACCGGGACATCGGCTGGCTGGGGCTTAAAATGCGCATGTCAGCAAAAAGTTTTGCAATGAGAACATGTGCGGATACAGGGTGTACTGTATTTGAACACGAGCAAACATTGACGAGTCGATAACTTTTTTCACACCCTGTCAAACATTCTTATCATAGCGAAGGTATTTCTACAGATCTTCCAGCGTTGCATTGCTCAACGGAAGCATTAGTTTTGCCAACTGACTGCTGATGCATCTTGAAACAGCAACATTGTTATTCTTTAAGTGTGTTTATCAATATGAGATTACACCAAGCTATGCCGTTTGGCAGCGACGTTAACACAACTGTGCGATACATATAATATCAATAGACTTAAATGAAACGCAGGTAATGCAGGCCTTATAGCATCTGTGGTTAATTCAGGTTGTTCACTATTTCAGCTTCCAGAGCAGAAAATGTTCAGCGATTTTTTAAAAAATTCACAAAAATATTCCACATTAACAATAATGAGAATGTTCTTAATAAAATATAGATCTACATATGCACAGAGTCCAGGATACAAAAAAATTGTTGGTTTCTGGGCGCAGAAAGATCCATCATTCATCGTGCCCGTTGAAGAAAGCGAAGGGTTGATGCTGGGGATTCCGTGGAACATGATTCGAATCACTTGGTTTTCTGATCTCCCACTCGGAATGCTTTAGCTTCATGTGGAGCATTAGGTACTCCCGTAAGACAAAGTATTTTGCGCAACGATTGCACTCGAAAAACTCTCCCGTTTTCGATTCCGTGCTGACAAGGGCCTCGTGATATTGTTTGTAGTGACTCTTCAGCTCCTGCAGCGAGTGCAGTGCGCGCCCACACAGATCACAGCTGTGACCCTTGGGGATCGGTTGGGTGACCGAAGGAAAGTGTGACAGGTGATGCGCCTGCAGCGAATCTATGCCGACAAAACATTTCTCGCACATCAGGCACCCCAAGTGCAGGCCGGTCAGGTCTGTCTCCATCTCTGATGATACCATGTCCATTGTTGGCAGCGCAGCTGAAACTGAATTTCACCATTACTATCTAATAAGTCCACTGTCCACTTTCTGACACAAACCTCTACAAATGCTGTTTCCCCACCGACTCTATTCGAAATGTACAGTTTTTTTTTGCTATTTCGTTTTCAGTTCTTCTTGTTTATTGTGCTCAGCCTATCCCACTCTGTTCGGTGTTTTCGTTGTCTAGCGGCGCGCTTGCGTTTCCAACTTTCCCTTCGAACGAATATAAAATAACTGCGCAGCTGAGCAGAATTAGCGTTCAAGGAAAAGAGAGAAACAGAGGAGCGTAAAATGAGCAAAAGTGTACATGTGTATATATATGTATGTATGCATGTGTGAATATGGAAGTGTAAGTGCCGCTCTATTAAACTAGAAAGATAGAGGCGTTTCTTTATCTCTATTCATCATTAGGATTTAAAAATGGCATTCCTGCTCCTTCTATAATCTATAAATTGTTGCCGTGAAAAGCCTACACATGCGCTACACATGCTGAATACATATTGCTTTTGTGCTAAGGTCAGCTGTAATATAAGGAGCAATGCGGGGTGTGTGTGTGGAAATGCCAAAAAGAAGAGCGCATGATTGTGTGCGTTACATCTTGTGTACACTTGCATACAGTGTACAAAGGCTTTATATGAGTCTCCCAATCTCTTTATGGCAGTAATTTATGTGTCAAAGTAATGTTTTGGATCGATTTTTTAATGTTGCGCTATTCTAAACATTACCAAAATGATTTCTCGGATTTCAGTTCTTCATTCGTTTTTATTAGTTTTCGGAATTGGAAGTCCCATTTCCTTTATGTACAAGTGCTGAGATTGAAAGGGAAGCCTTTCAGCCTTTCTGAAATCTCCACAAAAATGATAGGATATAATGTATGGCAATAATTTAGAGTATCCAAGAAAGCTTCAGCTTTTTTCTTTGAGTGCATTTCAGGTCTGGCACCGTTCGGAATACTTATCCATTTCCTCTTGACTGACCCAGTTACTAAATTCACTAAAAAAGAACGCAGCAAAATTAGTTCGGATGCTACAGATACATATTACTACAAATACATACCCCAAGAAGCAATCATCCCGACGAAGTGGATACGTTTTGTTGGGATCCATGGGAATGAAGTAACCATTCGCAAACGGTCGGCCCATGGCTGCCCATTCGGCGGGCGGACAGTAGAAGGCGGCTGCCTTCGCTGCTAGTTCTTCATGCGATTCACTTGCTTCACAGGAATCGATAGCTGGCTCATCTTTAATCAATCGAGTGCTTGGTGGTGATGAGGTTAACTCCAAAGCGGTTGCTGTAAATTCGCTGATCGGACAATAATTGGAAGGAGAAGCAGCATTCACCAGTTCCCCGTCCGCCATGAACTCTCGGTTGGACGGATAACAGTCGACAGCTGGCTCTGCGTTGGACAACTCAGTTCTATTTTCTGTGAATGTTGACTCCGATGTGGATGATGTAAATTCGCTGATCGGGCAGTAACTGGATGGAGGATCAGCATTGAGCAGTTCCGAGGGCGCTATGAACTCGCCGCTGGACGGATAACATACGACGGCTGTCGGCTCTGCATTGGTCAGCTCAGTACTACTTTCTGTGAAAGTTGACTCCGATGTGGATGCTGCGGATGAACAGGGGGACGGTGGTGCTTTTGGAAGATCAAACAGACGGAAATTGTGTTTTTGTCTCATGTGACGAGTTAAAAAGCCTTCACGTCTGTACGCCTTGTTGCAGTACTTGCATACGAAATTCGCCGCCGCTGCTTTTCCCGGATTGCAGCGCTTATGGTGAAGTTCCAGGTCCTGGGAGGAACTTAACTTGATTTTGCAAAACTGGCATTCAAAGGATACCTTACGTGGACGTCCTCGCTTTAAACATGAATTATTAAATGATGGAACAAGCGGTGGCGTTGATTGAGCACTTGAAAAGTTAAACTTGATCGGATCTAGGATAAATTGTTGCACAGTTGGTTGTACCGTGGTGACTTGAGGTTGCAAAGTGCTACGGTAGATCTCCATGCCATGTTGGCTTAGGTGCTCCTTGAGAAGATCTATGTCGTAAAACCGCTTCTGGCACAGATAGCACGGAATGCACAGTACCGAGCCAGGTCGAAGACTGGTAATGGTAGAGAGGATAGGCATTGAAGTGTCGGTGGGGGACCACGGCGGTGTGGCCAACGGCATCGGAATGTGCGTCATCGCTGGAGAATTTGGTGGCGGCTTCTCACGGATCGTTGGCTTACTCAGAGCGAAGCATCCGATTATTTCCACATCACTGTCGCTGTCGTTGGCATCTGCAGCGGCTTTGGACATCACATTTAGACCGATCTTCGGTTTATCCAGACCACAGCACTCGACTATTTCCACATCACTGTCGCTGTTGTTGCCGTCTTCAGTTGGTTTCGATTTCTTGAAGTTTAAATAAAAGTTTAGAATAGGCCTGATACATTTTCCCGGCTAAAAAACTTACTTTTTGCTCCATGGTTTGCAGTTTTTTATGAATTTTCTGTTACGTGCGCGCGCTGCGACCGACGATGATGAAATGAGTGTTAAGCCGTCGTCTCTCTTATTCTAAGATTCCGTTTATCATCTTACATTGAACCTGTTTGCGTGTGTGTGTGTGAGAGTCACTTTGGGGTGGTTCTGTTCGCTATTCTCTTTACGTTTCTTTTCTTCTGTCTTCTCCGTTGTTTTCTCAGTTCTGCAGACCCTGTTATGTTATCTCGTTTTAGGTCCTTTTTTATACGAAAAACAGAAATGACCGTATGTATGTATGTATATCAGGGCTCGGCACGGCCCAGAGGGTACAGGTCAAGGCGCTGCTGCTGCGCTGCCGCTCACGTACACGCGTATTACAGTGATTCGTACAAATACCAAAGTGAAATGTTCCGTTTCGGGTGCGACTGCACACACAAACGCAAAAAACGGGTCGTTAATTGTATGGGTGCCGAGCCCTGATGTTTATACGTATTTATTTATGTAAATACACCACTATATTGCTTCTTCACGTTTCCTTTTTCTTTTTGCACTCCGTTTTAGTTGTAGACTTGAAAGCAGTATAAATACATACATATGTATATACATACTTCTATGCATATGTACATATGTGCATGCATTTCTGAATTGCAGAGGCGCTGCTCCGCTGGATTGAAGCGTTTTATTTGATCTTTACACAAGTGCTATAAAAATATTAGCTGTATTTCACATAAAGAAACTCAAGAACTATCCGGTACATCTATGTACATATGTATGACCTATGTACATGTATGAGATGCATATGTAAGTAATTGTTAATTGATCTGGCAATATATGGCACTGAAATTGTTTGGAAAGACCTTTTAGGACAGGCCGGCGCAGGCAATTCAGAAAGAAAGTGTTACATCAGTTCGTACAGGTACTGTGGCCTTGAACGAATCTATGTACCTGCTTTGGAAGTCGAGAGTGTTTTGTCTTTTGTCTAATGACAAATGACAGTCCAATTTATTCTCGATCTTTGTCCGCTTTTTATGCTTAGAAATTACATACATACATACATATGTACATACATGCATAATACATATGTATATACATACGTAAGTACATACAGTGACTCCATCACATAATCGGACACTTTTTCATAAAAAAACAAAATTCGCAACACCGGGCCCAAAAATGTCCATGGCTTCTGCGTTCAGGTTCGTCATATCCAGCTCTTGTTCTCCAGACATATTAATTGATTCAGAATAGATATTTTCGACATTTTTAAGACCATTTGGACCATATGTATGTACATATGGACATACATATAATTATGCCGAGTGTATGGCTCGCCCTCCTTTGAAAACTATCGAACGAAATAAAATGATTGTTGTTGATTTATTTAAAAATTCTTTATTGCCCAAGTAATCCTCAATTGTCCAATCATATTCATATATATTTGTTTGCCCTATCTTTGGGTTATTCCTAAGCCGAATATCGATTTTGATTATTTGCAGTCTTTTTGTCGCTTTCAATTTCAGTTTTTGAAGAGGCCAACATTGGACTAAGAGTTAACATAAAAAACATACATGTTGATGATGCCAGCATATTAATGCTGTAGCTCAAGGGTTTTTTCTTTCGATTGTTTAAATAGTTAGCTTGTAATATTCAGTAATAGTTGAGGGTGCAGACATTTCATTCCATTTGTTATACGGTTCTAACTAGAGTTAAGATTACGATTAAAGTTCTAGTTAAAATAAAATTACAGAATTACGATTAGATTGATTATCGAGACTATGTACTTATACAATGGCCCAATGCTTATTAATATTTACAAATTATATGTATTCATACTTTATATTTAAGTTTTTTAGTATGCATAAATATCGCAACAATCGACACTTCATGCGTTCCATACGTTGCCTGAGATACTCCGTTTGGTGCCCCTGACACTGAAGATGGGGTTGAACTATTTACAGAAGTTTTGGGGAGAGAGGAGAGCGGTGATTTTGAGTGTAGAGGAGTGGACGCCTGATGAAGAACATCCTCGAAATCGCATGAAGTGGTTGCTTGTTTTATTTATTGTTTCCAATTTTCATTTTTCTTTAGCCTAAAATACTAGATCTAGGTCTATCTACGTGTCTATGTAAATAAGCGTTTACATGTAAAATGAACCGATTATAATGTATATGACTCGCGAGTTTGGGAGCGGGTGATTGAGAGGTGTATCAGTGGATGCATGTACATATCTACATAACTGAACTGCTTGGGTATGTATCGATGTCGTGTGGCTATGTATATCCTTTCCCTTCTGATAGGAACTTGAGCATGTATCGTATGTCTACATATAATCCAATTCCAAAAAGAAACCAATACTTGGGTGCTCGTGCTTGTGTGTGTGGAGATTAAATTAAAGATGATTTTCAGTCAGTATGTGTTCACCCAAAATGCCATCAGTGCTCTGAGTGCGCAGTATAACTTCAAGTATAGGCTGGTATTAGGCAATCGGGTAGTCCCGCTGCTGCTGCTGCTGTTCCTGAGCATCTGTAAAATCCGAAAAGAACACAAAAGTCATTAGACATATCCTTTTAAAATAGTGCACATATTTATATGTAGTATGTAAAGCAATGTGGGAGGACTGAGGACAATTTCGATGTTAGGGCAGGGCCTTGCGGTCATGTCGGATTAGTAGAACGCAACGCTGAACGATGAAACGAACGCAGAACATAACGCAAAACGAAACGAGAATTTTGGGGAACCCACCTTACGGGATCTTAAGCCAAAAATAGTATTCTTTTGAGGACGCCTAAACTTATCACGCGCGTTCCCGCAGGGCAATGTCCGTGCACAGGACGAGACATTCCGAATTGAAAGACTCGACGTCTTTTGCGGCCACTGACGCCAGTCCCTTTTCGCCTGCCGAACAACCAACAGAATCAAACAAAAGAACCGAAATTGACAGGAGATTGCCAACGAGATGGATAGAGGGATGTGCTAAGACATCGGACTAATGGGAGATCCTTACCAGCTACACTTCGCGCTGCCTTGTATTTGTCCTTGAGTATGAAGCAGGCGGTGAACAGGAAGAAGATGCCACCCAGCACCTCCACAAAGCTGGTGGAGAACAGCGCGTACTGAAGGCCCTCAAACTGCTCGACTTCCGTAAACTGCGGGAAAAACAAAAGTTTAGATTGGCCAGCATAGAAAATACTTTGAAAACTCTACCTGTTCTGTCAGCTTTTCAGCTGTTTTGGTTAGATTCGTTTGGAACGAATGGATAGCCTCCGAGGCTACTTTCGTGGCCAGATCCGTGGCATTGATGAGTTGCGACTCCACCACCTGGGACATGCTTTGCAGTTCATTTGTCAGGCCCGAAGCACCGGGATGGTTGCGTAGATGCTTCATGATGACCTCCGACATCTGTGCAGGGTACAAAAAATCAAATATGTAAAGATTATGGGCTTACACAGATCAGAGGTGCTATAACTTACCGCTCCCACTAGGTAGGGACTGCCGGCATCGCCCAGGGCGTGTGATATGAGTATTTGGAAGGCCTCCGCTGTAGATCGACGCGTGGGTACCACTACATACTGCACCACAAGATAAAATATTTATTAGTTTCATCTCGATTGAATCAGTGTCGTATTTAAATCTAAGTCAACAGCAGTTTTACCAACAACAACAATGAAAACAAAGAGTTTTTAAGCAAAGACCAAAACCTAGAATCAAACTATCGACAGGGATGTAGCAAGTATTTTACATACATCTCAGCCGATAGTTCGATATTACATACAAACATAAAGTGCGATTAAGGTGCGTAGGTGTGTGTGTTCTAGAGTGCGGTACGTGTGTGCAAGAAGCAACCACAATCAAACAAGCTCCGATGCTGCCAAAAGCTCGCCAAAGATGGAGCCACTCGAGAATATTGAGGACAAAGAACAGTCCGCCGGCCCCAATTTGCGTGCAGGTTCGTGTCCACAACGGCGGTCACTTGGGAACAGTGAAAGAGCGTGCGCCTGGGAACAGTTCTGGAGCTGCTAGCGGTACCATCGACATGAAGAGTTTAACGTTTTGATAATGCTGATCGGCATTGAAGGATGTACATATGTACATCGACTACTGGATGGTAACTCTTTGAATTGTTTGATTGTGGCATTCTTTTCTTGACCTACCAATTTTGATTCATTAACGTTTTTGTTTCTTCAAGCTAAATTAAGTTTTTACTGTTACAATAGTGTGTGGGTGTGTGTGTGTGTGTGTGTGGCCTGTGCGTTTTATGGATGTGTTGTAAAGCAAAAGCAGAAGTTACGACAACTAATCCATAAATTTCAATGGAAAATCTTGTGGGATCGTACTTTTAGTCTAGGTCAACCCATTCCAGCTGAATACCCTAGATAAAGGCAGTTTCTAATCAAAACTCCTTATCTGAAACAATTGAAATAGCGCCACCCAAGGCAGTGGCCAATACCCGACCATTGGGACTCTTTCGGGTTAGATAACAAATTTCGAATGCTTATTTTTGTCACGGAACGGAATCATTTTGCAATGGCAATAAGGCAGCAAAAAAGTGGGCATACGCTCAAATCAAGTGCGTGGTAAAAAAGAGAGACACCGAACAAAAATAAAATAGTATAATGCATCGAGAGGGGTATACATATACCATACATATAGTATGGTCTGACGTACTGCCAAATTTAGAACAGGCTAAATAACATGCATACCACTTGAAAGTATTACGTCTGCGAGTACGCATGTGTACGGATGGATGTGATACATATATCTTCCTATACATGTACTAAGAGTAACAACCACTATCTTGACGCATAGGTTGCGCAAATCAGCTGTTTAAACAGCTTTACTGTCCATTCATAGGGCAGACGGAGCTACCAAGAAGGAATATTTTAGATATCTTTTAGATAAAGCCACTCAGATAAATTCAAAAGTTTAACTCGAACTCAGAAGTAGAGCACAGATAAGAAGTTGAAGTCCTATAAGATATGGATCTTATGATTATGCAGAAATTATCAATTATCTCTTCATAATTCAATCGTTTGTTGATTGAGGTCAGAATTCGAATTGGGTTAAATATCAACTGCAAGGTCACACTTATCAATCTTATTGAATTATGTAAATTATTAAGTTCACTGGATCATAAATCTACTATCGAATCGATCATATGTTCTGCTAATCAACTTCTTTATCGAGTCGTACTGAAATCAAAGTAATCAAGGACCAGCCAGTATCTGATTGACAGAGTATCTACCTACTAGTATGTGCGTGATAAATAGTAACTACAGTTCTACTATCTCTGGCTTATCAGTGTGTGGCCAGCAAACGTGACTCGCCAGTGTAGATAACCCCAAAACCCCAAACGCCAGACAGAAGCGTACAATACAAATACGAAAATTTCGAAATTGTATCTTTAGAGGGGTATGAGTCGAGGGTTTTGCACTGTCAACTTGTGGGCGATGTGGGACTTTAATAAGTTTACCATCCCAACGCCCATTTGGGGGGTTGCGTGTGATGAAATTTATTACCAGTTGCAAGTGCCTGGGGGTGGCACACTCTCTTTCACCCCATTTTTAGTTCCATTGGGGTAGAGGGTGGAAAAATGCCAAGGAGCAGCACAGAATAGAATGAAGATGAGCTTTACGTTTATTGCACTTGCAAAAAGGAAAAAGTAATATGAAGAAATGTCAACTCTCTGGGGAGGGGATACAAATGAAAAATAATGATAAAATACTATGCATTTCTCAGCTTTAAGATGGTTGGAAAGAGGGCAAAGCTTTTAAGGAAATGTATGCAAGTTGGAAAATGAGATAAATGCATAATTTAAAAATCCAGACAGCTTGAAATATCCACCGTGTAGAAGGGTTATAGAGTCAGTACAACTCCGGGGTTAAAAATTCCTTCAAGCTCTCGGCTAGGGACAATGACCACCACCGGTAAAAGGGCAACACAAAAATATATATTGGTTAGAGAGTGAGTGTAAGCATGCTTGTGTGTTTTTGCGTGTGTGTGTGTGTGGGGGTGTGTTTGTGAAGGTGTGTTCTCATTATAACAGTAAAAAGTTAATATTAATATTACGTGTTGTAATTACAGTTACATTTACATTATTGATATTTAAACAAAAAGTGAGTGCAAAATTACAAAAGCAAGACTGGGGAAATTCGTGGAGGAGCTGTGTAACTCTCTCTCCCTGTCGGCTTACCAGCAAGATGTCCGCCACAACCGCCCAATTCAAATTCAAAGCTAACTGTCCGAAAAATATGAGCAAATAGGTGCCCAGCTCGTTGGACGACACCATCAGGCAGGCACCGAACAGAAGCGGTGCGCTGAGCAGCAAACCGAAGGCGCATATCACCGGATCCGCCGATTGGTACCGCTTCATCATATATTGTGACAAGAACGAGCCCAGGGGCACGCCCACCAGGCCCGCCACCATTGTGATCACTCCGAAATTGAATGCAACGCTAAATTTGGGGGGAGGGTAGGAAAAATTTTGAATTTGAGGTTAGTTTTTGCAAGAAAGCTTAGGCGGAAGGAAAACTGCTTGGCGAGCTTGGGGCTAGGCTTGGGGCGCATTAGTAATCGTCGTTCTTTGTTGTGGCTGATGCTGCTGTTGCTTCGTGATTTCAAACGCTTCTGGGCCAGCTTACCAGCAGAATATCGGCCACAATGGACCAGCACAGGTTGAGGGCCACTTGGGCCAAAAACACGAAGAAGAAGCACAGCGATCCGCTCGTCCGAGACACCACTAGGGCAGCAAATACCATGGGCGCGGACACCAGTAGTCCTCCGGCGCAGATGTACGGGTCACAGTTCTCCATGCGCCCGCGCAGTCGTTGGGCCAGCACAGAGCCCATTGGCACGCCGATCAGGCCCGCCAGCATGGCCACTATTCCGAACTTGTACGAGATGCTTCGATGATAGAACCAAAGGTAAGGTATAAGGCGCCGAGCTCGATTGGTTTGGGGGATTTTGGGTACTTTTTGGGGAAGGGATTCAGGGGGAGTATGGAACACTTACTCGTCCTGAACGATGTTTTCGTTTCCGGACTGCATCTTCATGCCTAGGAAGATGAAGGAAGGTCCCCACCAGGCCAGCGCTCCCGCCACAAAGGCCACGCAGGTGAATCCGGCCGTGGAGAGCATGAAGGAGCGATTCTTGAGCAGTTCCTTGATGTCCTGTCTGTAGGAGGTGGCCTCCATGTTGTGCGAGCCCTCGCTATGGCCGCGCTCCGGATCCTTGATCAGCATAATCAGCAGCACAGCAGCCACACCCAGGATGGGGGTCACGCGCAGCGCCCAGCGCCAGTTGTTGGCCAGGTGAGCCGTCTTCGAGCCCACTATATATCTGGAAGGGTAAACGAAGGGAGTACATTAGAGTTGATTGCGATTAGTTGACTCTTGGTCCTCCACTGCATTGGCTGCCAATTGGCGCCCCGCATAAATTTCAATCAATGAGACGAGCCCCCGGCCACTTGACCCCACTTTAATTGAATTAAGGCCATCCTCTTTACATGCCAAAAATAAATCAATTTAAACTTTTAATTGAAGGTGCTCCTCAATGGGTAGAAATGAAGTCACGTGACTTTTCTCACGCTACGCCGATTAGAGCATCCCCTTGAGTCGAGTACCGCCCCAAACTTTGCACCCGGTCGGCTGTTAAATTGTTGTCAGCAGCTGATAACCGCTTCCCGAGGAGTGACAAAGTCGAAGGCGGAACACCCCAGACGAACGATCTACTGATAAGAGCCTGTTTACTCTGCAGCTGCGACTGCCAACTCTTTGGGTCATAGAACTTACCCCATACCGGAACCCACGGGAATGGCAAAGTAGAACATCGCCAGCATCTTCGAGCGCATGTCGTTCACGAACAGATCCGATATTATCGTTGGCGCTATTGTGCTGTACGAGGCCTCGCCGATCCCCACCAGAGCCCGGAACGTGATGAACCAGCCAAAGCTTTGCATGTACGATCCCAACAGCGTGGTGGTGCACCACAGGGCCACACCCACGGCCATGATCCAGGGCCGGGAGTACCGATCACCCAGATAGCCAAAGACTGGAGCACAGATCATGTAGGAGATGACAAACACGGTCTGCAGGAGACCCGCACTGTCGTTGCCAATTTTAAAGTCTTCTTGCACATCCTTCAGCACCCCTGCAATGAACAAAAGGAATTAAAATATTGTCGCAAGCTGGAAATCCGTGATTGGGTTTTTGTATTATATTTTATGGTGTGTACCAACTAATTCTATCAACAGTAGATAGACGCTAATTGGCCAAATACATAAATAGTTAATATGAGTATGCTATATTCGAGTGCTTTACGTAAGCTCGACGTTGATGGGAGTGGTGAGAGGTGCCGGTGGTGCCTTCCTTAATTAGCATGCCTCACAGTCACGCAGTCACTCCTCTTCACAGTGACTCGTTAAAATGTTAAAACAACCAAACAAAAGCAGAAAAAATAGGTATCATCATTCAGTAATTTCTCTCGATCTATCATAAATAGCTACTGAGAGACAAAGTATACAACTTATGCGGAAAATGCAGGCATTTCCGTTGCATTTTGAAATGCTGTAACTATCGATGACCAAAGCATGACTGGAATCGATAATCATCGCTTAGGCCAGCAGATTCATTTTTCGATCTGTGAAAATATGTTCACACACACACACACACACATGTCCAAATCTGTGTCAAGACGTGCCCAAAGATTCATTTTTATATTATGAATCACCTTCGCCTACAAATACCTATTTTATTTCCGTTTCATGCAAAGACAACAATGCGGCACGTTTCGTCGCATCGTTTAAAAATTCATTATCAAACGGAGGTTTGATAAACGACCTCGGTCAATAACTGTTTTTTCACATCTAACGCCATTTCCTACATTCTACTTGCAGCTCAAACACAGCTTTTAAGCCCCTGCCCGTGTACGGGGCCAATGTACGCAGCTGAGTGGTCTACAAAATACCGCTTTGCCTCGACTCAAAGTGCTCAAGCACCCAAAAATAAAGTGACAGTCGAGAGAGCAAATACACAGTGGTGAGAGCGCGCGCGACAGAGAGAGGAAGATCAAAAGCCGGTAAATGCACAACACAGCAACAACACCAAACAACTGTGGGAGACAAGCAAAAGCTCAACAAGTTGTGTGCCGTACAAACGAACGAACCCCCCAACGAACTCTAACCGAGTGCAGCCGAATGCCTAGCGAACGTGGCACGAAGTGGGACGTGAATCAGCGTTTGCTTTTTAATTATTTCAGTTTCTGGGTCTCTTTTTGCTGGTTTCGCTTTTGAGAAATTTATCGTACGATGTTTTCGACCAATCGGAGAGTTTGTTTGCCCAGTGACGTAATGGTTGGAGGACGCCACGCGATAAACAGTGTGTTTGTGTGTGCATGCATGCATTGCGATATGCGATGGGTGTGGAATGGCAGAGAAGGTTGTGGGGGGACAGACAGAAAGACTGACAGACATGGCGAACGGGGTGTGCTGTGGTGGGGTCTTTCCCTCCCATACACGAGGTGTAATCGGGTTCCCGCATAAGGAATGCCGATTGTTTATGGCATTCTTGGCCAGCTGGTACCGTCAGGAGGGGCGCCGCCTTGGGGGCAGATTGGCAAAGTCTCCCCCCTAATGGGAGATCCGTCTACGCCTGCGTATACATATGTATTTTTTGCCGGTTCTGGCCATTTTAGAACCAGTTTGACTCTCTTAATCTCTCGCTTGTTTCTGGCGCTCGCATTTGTTCTCTTTTATTTAGCACAAGACAGTGCGTGACATGATAAGCAGACAATATTTGGATACCTTTTGATACCTTGGGATACTAAAATAGCTCTTTGATAGCCAAAGCAATTTAAATAATTAATACATTTAGCACAGCCCTAAGCCCCTCAGGAAAGTAGCTTACAGTGCCGAAACGTACTGTAGATGGTAGGAAAATCGAAGACTGTTGAGACTACGTCTAGTCAGTAAATATTACTTGAAAGAGAGAGGCAGAGAGGTGAAGAGGTGGCACCTCATTAACATGAATGAAAAAGCTGTTGGACTGAAAGTGATTGTTGTCCCTCTCGTCGCACGTCCTCTCCTTTGCGCTCTTTTGGGTCTGGTGACGTTGGCCTTGAGTATCACGCGATATCTGCCGAGTAAGCTTTAAATTCAGACAATGATTAAACAATCTGGATACCATCGGACAGATATTTTGATTCACATTTCGAGTGCTCTGGGACCTGTAAGGCGACGGAGACTTTCGCTGCAGAGAAAAACTTTCATTTTTTGGGCAGGTGGAAATAAACACAAATGGAAATTTGTGAAAACTTTCAAATATTTCCCCGTTTACCGTATTCAAATGGACATTCCCTACCCCAATAGGCGAGTGAACGATTAACTAGATTGTTTTATGGTTTTTTTTTGTAGTGGGGCTGTGGCTGTGGCTCTATGGCTAATTCAATTTCGAGGGAAATGTGCACTTTGCAAGTCAAGTTCGTTGACCCGGAAAAAGGCACAATAGACTCAGTGATGCTGCAAACAGTGCAAAGTTCACGAAACTTTGTATAATGCAAGACTCAAAGCTTGGAATTAAAGAACAGGTGTGCTGTAATTTATATTGGGAAAGGTTCAGCTGAACAGCAAATCGCATTTTCCCTTGCGTTTTGCATTCGGTTGTCAAATATTCCGTTAAGTAATCAAAAGTAGATATTCCAAGGTATTCGTCACTTCGGTGTGTCAAGGTTTCATCTCATTTTGTTTATTTCTTTCTCCAACTATGAAGGCAACAAAATGGAAAGTTTTTCTGTGTGTGCCTTAAACATTTTGTTAAGAAAAACATTTCAAGCGGACATAAAACCAATCTCAGCGACTTTGAACAAAATGCAAAATAAGCGCATAATAAAATCGAAATAAGAGAAAAAGCAAATACCTCAATTGGCTTGCAACAAAAGACAGCTAAAAGATACTCTATCATGTTACAAGATCCTATAAAAAACATACACAAATACATATAATCCATCTGTTTTCAATCAATGGGACAGCGACAAGTATTTTGTTTGGCGCCTTGGATGGGGGCCAAGAAAATTACGTAGGATGCAAAGCCCAACGGTTGAGTGTATAGACATCTACATTATTGAATGTATGTTGAAATGTATTCAGACTAAATATCTGCTGACCACAATATCTGCTGATTCTCGTACGACCAGAAGATCTTTGATCCAAAGTTCACTTTGACACCAAGAACCAACATTAAAAAGGAAACCAAAATGCTCATTGCCACAAGCTAGCCAATAATATCAGGCCATAGCAAAGTCGGGGGTAGTGCACAAAGGCCAGGACGTACTTAAAATAATAATTAAATGCATATCGTTGAACTTGACAGACACCAGGCGATGCCTGCATACATATGCAGGTGCTACGTGTACATATAAATACATAATTATATATGCGTATAGCTAACAGTAAATGTATTTGAGCTTATTTATCTATTTGGAAAATGTTGAAATTCACAGAAAAGGCCATCCAAAAACAAAATAAATCACCCACGAAACTGCCAATCTAATCAATGCGAAATTGTTTAAACAAATTCACGACACGTGCCCGATGGATGGCCGTAACAGCTGCGCCAAAATGCAATTTATTGGCCTGATATTGTGGTATTAATATTGTGGCTTCTGTTTCTACAACTAAAACTGATAAGACACGGCTGTAAAAAGAGGAAGAGGAATTGTGATAACCACAAACTTTGTAGTAGGCAAATGTCTACTCGTATAACCTTGGGCGTGCACACAAATGTTTATTTTAGTTTTTGTTCTAAATAAACAAAATTATTCCTAATTGGAAAATATGGAAAAGTTTATAAAGACAGACGACACTAAGGCCAACAGTTTCGAACGGACGCATGGCTTTGATATCTGGAAAAGACCGACGAAACTCAGATCGGCCTCCTTCTGGACGTTGCAAGCAAGTGATCACATTTAGGATACCGAAATTTGAAGGGTATAACAAACGTTAATTTGCTTGGAAGTAAGCAAAAAGATAGTGGGCGTGTGTGTGCCTGAGGGGCGAATGGAGTCAGAGCGGTATACCGAATGAATGAGTGAGTGAGTCCATCACAATGAGTGCGAGTGAGTGTAAATGATGGACGACTCATTGGTGGTTTCAGTTTTAAATGTAAATGTTATCGCCCTTTCAGTTCAAAATTCAGTGCAAATCCGCTTCCTGTCTGCCGGGCGCGACTTTGGTTGATTAAAAGTCATGCGATATGTACATATATATGTGTGTATGTGTGTGTGTGTGTGTGCATACATATGCATGCATATATTAAGCATTTGGGCCACCCATTACCCATTAAAAGCTTACCACAAAGACATTAAAGTCTCAAGAGCTGAGTGTAAAATCAATTTGTGATCGATTCTTATACAATCAACCGATAAAAAGATAATTTTCGTTACATTTAATCTCTCTGTAAGTGCAAAATGTACAAAAGAGATTATATTTTGACCTTGGCAAAGGACTTTTCGCTGATTTGCAAACACTTTGAGGCGGGGGCAATGCAAGTTCAGGTTCACAGACCAGAGAACTTTGCTAGATAGTTAATGTTAAATGTTAATTATGGCCATTTGTGCACGGAAATTAACCAGTTACGAAGCTATTTGAGTTGTGTAACTACCCGTCCCATTTCCAGAGGGGCGGGTACGACAGTTTGAACTGCATATAAACCGGCAGACCCGTAACCTGTTGCTCCAGGCAATTGCTATTGGGAGAGCTCTGTAACTATATTTTTTCCAACGCAATTTGATTCAGGCTTTAATCGAAGAGTGTTTTTTTATTTGATAACTATAAATGGAATTGGGATTCCCCATCAAAGTAGATTCTCCATCCAATTTGTGCGAAATCCACTTACATATGGTTGGAAGTAGATGCTGACTTAGAAGAATATCCGTTGAGCCATACAGCCCGCATTAAAATGCAAACGCAAAGAATCCATTTAGCCGTTTACTTAAGAATTATAGCTATCCGAGATGGAGCTAGTGCTATTGTTTATATTGCCTGCACACAAGCCCGCATTGTAACGCATACACATTACTCGAATTCAGTCAATTACTAAGAATTTAGACGAATTGACACTTGGCTGGTGTCATTTTTGCTTGTGTTATACTCAATCCCAAAAATTATTGTTTAGATCTCAAATGTAACGCTACTGGCCGTCTGGAAAGTTAAAAGATTTCCCCTCACACAGTCCAAGATTCTACAAGCCCGCATTACAACACAAACAATTAGCACGAAATGAAATGATTACTCAGAAATTAGAGGATATTTGGGGGGGGGGGGGAGTTTACTTCCATTAGAGTCGTATTTATAGATGATAACATACGATTGCTGTCGATTGTCACGCGGGCGGGAACCACTTGAGGCTCTGCCTTTGTTGCCCCCACCCCATGATCAGGTGCTGATATCACAAATCACACCCACCGAGTGTTAGGAATATGCGAGAAATTTGATTGATTTCCCATGGAAATTTACCCCCGAAAAGAGGAAGCGAATCAAAATAACTAAACGATAAAAAATATATATCCAAATGACTGTACATACTCATATACGTATTTTTGAATCGGATGATTCAAACAAATGTAAAGTAAACGCTGATTAGTCATTCCCAGAGGCTATTATCACATACACAACTCGTACGATTCTGTTGGCATTTTTCATCAGACCCTGCACTTGAAAACATTTAGAACGGCGGATTTACTATCCACAACAATACTTTCCTTATCTTTAAAGTAAATAACAACAACTGACGTCACAATCACACGAAGAGTCAGCAGTTATTTGCCCTCGCTTTTTGGAGAGTCTTCATTTTTACTATGCAGTCACGTTTTCCCGAAAACTGGAGTAAAGAAGATGGAGAGGCACTTACCCGCAATCGTGAAGCGGTCCATATAGTTGATGAGGTTAACAAAACAGAGCACAGCAACGGTAAACCATTGCGACCGGCCGACCGCCGAAAGACGTGTCGGCACGGGCGGTAGACCGAGGCCGGCAGCGAGGTTGGCTGTGGCTCCAGTAGGACGAAGCTGACGCGATTCTTCCATGCTGTCTGAATCCGAGGGCATCAACTGTTGTGAGGAGTAAGTCGGAGGTATGTTGGCGACATCATCATTACTGCCGCCACTGCTACTGCTCTGGCTCATCGCCGGGTTGTCCATGGCGGCCGCAGCTGTGGGGAGCGGTTGGTAGGACTGTTTCTGGTGTTTTTGCGACATTCACGTTCCTCTTGCTGCACACTCTTCCAAGAGCGTCTTAGGGGCGATTCCCAGCGACAACAACAAATACCAGAGACTACGAACGAGCCAGCAAGGCAACGCGGCAAAATATGCACACACACACACGCGCTCACACAGGCGCCAATGAACGCGCGATGAAAGCGGGCCGAGAGCAAAAAGAGTGAATGCAAAAAAATGTGTGTTGGTGGCAAGATTTCTTTGGCAGCGTTTCAATACCTCGATCTCGCTCACTATATCTCTCTCTCACTCGCGCTTCATATATTTTAGTTAAATTAGAGCGTTATTCAATTGGCTTGGCCAGCACTTGCCACTTATTTGTTAACTTTTTTATTCGGATGCGGTGTTCTAGGGCGAGACTATGTGCTAAAAGCATTTGCAGTGCTTCACCTTAGCTATATTTATCACAATTTTTTCCGCCGACACGACCGCACTCGCTGAATAATTCCTTTTTTTTAATAAATCGGCGCAAATTGTATAAGTAATATTATGTATATCAGTGTGACCGTGGAATTATCGATAAAATATACCGTCGGACCCTTAAAAACATACCTTTTCATTTTAAAAATATACCGTAAATATATCTTAAATCATATTCCTCGATTTTGATGTTCTATTTGATATTACTAGCTTGCAAAGACTTTTAACACTGAAAGGATAATTTAATCCGATTGAAAAATAGATTTGGCTTAATATAAATACTTCTTTTTATTGCATTGTATACCTTATGACCTTATATTTTACAAATTTATATTTGAGCTTTTCAATAAAATCAACCTTTCAAGAAGCAAAGGAAGTTTTCACGGTGCGATATCGGTGAGAAAAATTAAAGTGTCGACAATAGGTAAAAACGTCACATCAAATTTCATAGCTGAATTTGTAAACCTGCGTTTTCAATCCTCGATGACGCATTTTAAGAAAAAATAATGAATTGGTTGAAATCAACTTTCTCCTATGAGCTCCTCTCTCTCTCTCATCTGTCTCTACAAGTTGCAAAAAAACCAAGAGTTTGAAATCTGCGGATTATAAAAAAGCGTCACAAGCCTTCAATTCAAAATATAGCTAGCAGCGCGCGCTGATGGTCAGGGAAATTCTCTCTTGCCAGACGCTCTCCCGATCTCAGAGAAATATCGATATATTGAAAGCTTCCCGACTCATTTCTGCATTTTAAATATGAGCGTTCAAATATTGATTGGAAAGAGTTTGGCGGTAACATCCTCATATTTTTAAAATGGCCAGTGTTTTAAGAACAGTTCTGTGGAATGGAGTTTTCGGAATTTTTTCGGAGTTTTCTGTGAAACTTTCTACCTCGTTGTCCCAACACCCCTTGCAACCGGATCACAAGCAACAATAAGTTGAATTCAAATTCAGTTTTTACTGCTGCGTGTTGTACTAGAAAAAATAATATTATTCAAAGGTGACAATGTTAAGCGTAAATCAAGTTGATTAGTGATCAACATTCATTTCATCCAAACGACCACGCACGCGATTCTTCCGCTTGTGCTTTTTAGTCGGCGGCGGTAGGAAACTCTCCAAGAACTCAATCGTATTCAAAATGGTCTCAGAGCTGACGTTGCCAATGTAGTTCTTATCAAAGTAAACAACCGGAACAGGTGCCTCCGTGGAAAGGAGCTTGTCGCAGTTGCAACGCTGCCCTTGAAGCTTGGCATTCAGTGTCTCAACCTCGGGATCATCTGTGGTTCCGTTGGACTTGTCTGCAAGAACCGAAGATCGAGTTGCACCTCACAACATTCCCCATTGAACTTACCAAAAATAGGTCGAAAGCACTCCTTGACTTGGATCCACTTGGTGCAGAATTGCCTTATGAAACTGTCGTTATTATGGAACAAATTGCGAGCGGCATTGTCCACCTTGTACTTCATGAATCCCGGCACATAGGGCCACTTGCCTTTGGCTGCATAGAAGCAGATGATGTCTGCAATGCATAAATTAGTAATCTTGGGGGGTGCTCTGTCCTCCCTCACTCACAGGGCACATGGAAGAGGTGCAGAAAATTGCGCTGATGTTCGAGGCTGGATATCAGGTGGATGCCACTGGAACGGCGGCTGGCGGACACTTTGTGGCCGGCAAATGGTATCTCCTCCACGCGGACACTCTCCAGGTAGGCCTCGCCCATTGTGAGCAGCCACCCGAGCAGGAACAGGGCCACTATTCGAATCACAATCTTCCGGGCTAGCTCCATGGCTGAAGCACTCGCTCTGCACTTTCGTATGCAACTGAAGGGAGTCCGAGTCGGACAGTGTCCTGCAGGAACTTATTGATTTTAATTGACATAAATCTGCGACACACGGGCACCTGGCTGTATCTGCGGCTTGCATGCGCTAACCCAATTTGATGGCCAAATGACAGTTAGACCCTCCACCATTCCCACCCACAGCTATCCATCAGATACAAAAGTTCATTGAGCTTTTAAGTGAACCATAAATGAGGACAACTGCAGTGAAATCTAGAAAGTGGCATCTAGAATTGGCTATACCCACATACGTACATCACGTATTTATTTTCTCTGTGTTACTTGTATTCTCTTATGAAGTGTTACACAATATTATATTTAAATTATATCATTGATTTAAACATCTTTGTGCCCATTTCCCCCATTGCAGTTAGTGCATTTATCGTGACAGCTAAACCTGATTACAGCAACGAAAGAATGTTGGATTGCACAACATTGTTATTACAAGTAGAAATATGTATATGCAAATGCATTTTTGTAGCTTATCATGCTGAGCACACTTTGAAATGGAATATGGAAAATGGAATATGGAATATGGTAGAGTAAAGTAGATGGAAAGAAAATTCGAGTTGCTGCAGTCCCCGTTTTCATGCATCAACTTGGGCTGACGTCAATGATTAAATTTCAGATTTTATTTGAGACTTTTGTTATGTGTATCTCTAGTTCCAACTTAGAACCTACATCTTTGAGAGCGTGGAACTGTTCCTATACCTAATATTCATTCACTGTCTCATTTAGTATTCATTTAAGGAGCTTTCATTTAGTATACTCGACCAGAGTTTGACTCGTGCCGCCTGGAATTTGCGGGACACGTGCACCTCGAAGCCCTCAGCAGGGGCCTGAGTATTGGCAAATTCGTGGTAATCACACATTCCACTGGAACGTGACTGCAGCTGCGATTCCGTACAAGGTGTCAGTGACTCCATATTTCTGGGTTTGCTATGGAATGAAACGATTTAGTACCCGTCTAACGCTTTGCCACCGTTCCGCGTGCTCACCCGAACTTGGTAAAGTGCACAAAGTAGTCCACAAGGGACTGAATCACCTTGGCCTCCGTGGAGTTGCGCTCAAAGTCGGGAAAGAAGAGGGGACTGCGGAACAAGTAGAGCAGATCATCACAATGGACCACGCCGTATCGGCCGCTGACATTCGCCGACGTGTAGGCAGAGGCATAGCTCAGTGGGCCCCTGTAGTTGAAGCTGAAAATGTAGAGCGGATGCCGGTGTCGGACATCCTCCCTGATGGCATTGTACAAAGGATGCTTGAATCCCCTGTCAGTGATGAGCTGAGAAATGGAGCAATGAATCTTTAGATATCACTGATAGACTCATCCGTGACTACTGACACTTACATCCATGAATCCCTGGACAGTCTTTTCGTTCACTTCGTGCTCATCCCGGAAGTACTCCTTCAGGATGAGCCTCATGCTGCTGGCCAGCCGCTGCTCGCTAAAGGTGGTGGGAAACTCCATCAGCTCCTGCAGCAGCTCGTCAAAGCGTTCGTTGAAGCTCTGGCGCAGCGTCTCGTTGCCCATAATGTTCACCACGCGGACGGCTCCCTCATCCGGTACGGTTCCCACCAGCCAGGGAATGGGCATGCGACTGCCTCGCGCCACAAGCTCCCTGGGATGTTCGCTGAGAAAAGCCTCAGTGCCCACGCCCTGCTCCACCACGGGCCGGAAGTTTGTCATGTGATCCACATCCCAAAACTTGAGCCCATCGCCGGCATCCAGCAGTTTGGTTGCCTCCACGCGGCGCAGCGATCGCGTCAGTTTGGCCGTGCTGAGCTTTTGGGCCTGCTTGATGCCGCAGAGCTCGGCCACGAGACGCGCCTGCTCCAGTGGTCGCTCCGTGATGGCAAAGGGCACGTTGGCTGTGCCACTCGTGCTGATGACGCCGTGGAAGAGCCCTTTCGACCGGGGACTAAGCAGATGCAGGTGCGTGGCCACACCCCCGGCGCTCTGGCCAAAGATGGTCACGCGCTTGGGATCGCCACCGAAGGCATCGATGTTGCGTTGCACCCAACGCAGGGCGAGATTCTGGTCCTTCAGACCAAAGTTGCCGGAGATGGACGAGTCCTGGGTGGATAGGAAACCTGCCACAAGAAGGAAATGGAATTAATTGCGGAACAAGTCGATTTTTGCGCAGAGCTTACCGAAAGGCCCCAGGCGATAGGCCATGGTTACCAGGATAACCTCACCCGAGTCCATGAAGTATTCTGGTCCCGTCACTTGAGGTCCAGCAGAGCCACTGAAGAAGCCACCGCCATGGATGTAGACCATGACAGGCAGCAGGGAATGTCTAGAAAGCGAGCGCTGTCGAAGAGACTCACAAATATAAGATCAAAGCCAATTTAGTTGTTCAGTTGTTTTGGCTCCCACCTTTGGCCTGTAGACATTCAGATAGAGGCAATCCTCCTGGCCAAAGATGATGGGAGTTGGCAGCAGATAGTTCTTCTGCACACAGTCCGGCTTGGGCTTGGTGGCATTGTAGACACCTATCAGTTTGGGCATAACCTTGGGGTTCTAAATGGGACTGACATTACATGGAACTCTCGTTTTCCCTTTCGGTTGATTTTGGGGGGGGGGCATAACTCACGCTGAACCGCAACGCTCCCACGGGTGGCAGGGCATATGGAATGCCCATGAAGGCCTCGAACTGCTCCGACTGATAGCCCTTTTGGTGTGTGCCCTTGACACAGCCCACACTTCGCGCACAGACGGTCAGCGGCGGGTCCAGCGCCAGAGTGGGGCACGAGAAGAGCTCTAGCACGAGCAGCACGAGCACCACCGACACCATCATCGTCCGTAACTGTATCGCCTGAATCATCGTCTGGCTACAAAGAAACCGAAACCAACGACAAGCCCGAGTTAGTAGCCGTCTTTATGGATCATTAGTTATGCATATCGATCGAGTGATTTGTTTATTTATGAACAGTTTTTGGATGATGCTTCCAAAACCTTGTTATTGCCCCCCCCCAAGATGATGTCAACGTTAAATCGGTTCCGTTTGACACTCTGTAAAGTTCCATTGCATAAATTGCATTAAACTCCTTTGGGGAAAACTCACTCGGAATATCGGAAAATATGTAGAACGTTACACGCCAACGATCCAAATCGATCTGAGGGCTTTCGTTGGTTAATCGTCCAAGAAAACTCTGCCATGCGCTAGGCCATAGCTGTTGCTGTTGTCTACTACTATCTCGGCTGAGTGACTGAACTCGAAATGGAAATTTTATTCAACACACAACAGCACTACAGCACTACAGGCACTACTCGATTAAACTCACACAAGACGCATGCTTGATCGGAGCGGATATCAATTGATCTGGAATTGCATATCAGATACAGTCGCAGTCGCCAAAGGGAATTCACTTACTCTGATCTGCCAAGCAGCTGAGCTCCGACTACGACCGCTTGGCAGATTCACTTTCCCTTTTATCCTGCAGCGCACCCTATCTTTCTATGCATATGTAAAAATGTATGTAAATATGTACGCACTGCATGTGCCCTTGATTGTCTGATATCTTATCTCATCACTCTTCCCATCGTTCCGTTCGGTTCCGTTCCTTCCCATCTCATCTCTCTCTGTTATTCGCACTTAATCTCGTTTCGTTTCTTGCATTGTCTGCAATCTGCAAACTGACCTTCGGAATTACAGCAGCAGCGAAGCGCCGCTAGCTTCAGAGAGAGAGAGAGAGAGAGAGAGCGAACGGGAGAGAGCAGGCGAAGCAGTGCATTTACAGTTACAATTGACATTGAGCTACAGTTAAGTGATGTATTTGTATTGTGAATCAAAAGTGCGTCTCTCGACTCTCCTCTTTGATACTACAATGGCCGTTACAATTCCACATATTAAGTGATATACGCATGGCGGCTCTACCATTCAATTAACCTTGAAAATAGTTTCTGCTTTTTCAGAAAAATAACTTCTTCCATATTGCATAGCCCTCCATTTTCCTGTCCTTCTGGATGTCCTGCTGGTAGCTCCCAACAGTGCCACCAAAATGGACATAGCTGCACATCTCCTGATCCGTGAAATCCGATGCCAGGCAGGCGGTGCCACTGTGGAAGATCCTAAAGCAGAGAAGAGCATCATGTAGCTGGAAACTCTTCCATAGAAAATAGTATAAAGCCTCACCCTGTCTTGGCAAAGTCAACCATCATCGAGGTCATCCGTTTAACGACCTCTGCATCCTCCGAATCCTTGGGATAGTCCTCGACAATAGCTGGAATCCGTATGGTGTGCAGAGCATCGTCCATGTGAGCTGCACCCACTCCGTACTCAATCGATGCACCGCTAAACAAAGTCGAGAGAGTGCGCATTCCACGGTACTCGAAAAAGTAGAAGGAGAGCGGATTCTCCTTTAGGTCTGCGTATTTCGCATAGCTGGAGGCCGTCTCGAAAAGTGGATAATAGAAGATAAAGTCGCCCGCGATCTGGGCCAGCGGCACAAGTGTATCATTGCTAATCGTCTCTCCCTCAATTCCGTAGGCGTCTAAGATCTCCCGGACAACCTGAGGCGATGTGCCATCAGGCAAATGCAGCATATGGGAAAAATGCTCCAGGAACCGCTCGTTAAGCTCCGCCCGTAGTTTTCGATCGTCGAAAGGATGCAGAACGGCAATAGAACCCTCTCCGGCCCTTGAATTAGCGCCCAGCAGCCATGGCACCTGATTGATGCGTCCCTCGAGGTGCGCCTTCACCGGGTCCTCGGTGAAAAAGGCTTCTGGACATCCAACAGGCTCGACGACCGGCGGATTACTGATGAAGGGAAAGTTATCCCAGACCTTTAGGGAATCTACAGTCTTGTGCAGTTTAACAGGATCAAGCTCACGCAGAGCTTGAGCCAGCTCCTTGCTGTCCAAGCTCTCTGCCCCCTCGATGCCAGCAACAGCAGCCAGCTTTCTCGCCTGAGCCAAGGGTTCCTTGTTGATCTGAAGGACTGCTGATAGAATGGTGCCATCCAAGGACATGGCCCGGTGAAAGAGTCCTAAAAGGAAGCAAAGATTCAATAGAACGTCCAACGACAGACGAGCGCAGCTCACCCTTTGAGCTGGGGCTGAGCATGTGATAGTGGGCAGACATTCCTCCCGCACTGTGGCCAAAGATTGTCACCAGCTGGGGATCACCTCCAAAGTCTGCGATGTGCTGCTGCACCCACTGCATGGCCAGGCGCTGATCCTTTAAAGCGAAATTTCCAGGCATACTCGTATCGCCAGTGCTCAGGAAACCTGCAAGACATAATCTCTAGAATAAAGTCTGTATTTCAGCTTCCTCTGAGCTCACCGAATGGCCCCAAGCGGTAGGGTATGGTGACCATTATCACCTGCTCCGTGTCCATCATATACTCGGGTCCACTGGCAACCGGATGGGCTGTGCCGCTAAAGAAACCTCCAGCATGGATGTATATCATGACAGGCAAGGGACTTCCATCGCGTTTCTATGGAGGAGCACAAATTTAAATCAAGGCTTGATTTTCGTTGCTAATCAAGCGTTACCTTTGGCCTGTAGATATTCAGGTAGAGGCAATCTTCCACTCCCCTAATTGTCCATTCTACGCCAAAAAAGTTCCTCTGCAGGCAACCATCCTTGGCTGTGCCAGCATCCAGGATGCCCTCCCAGGCACCAGAGGGCACAGGATTCTAGATCGGTAAAGGTTATGGTCAGAAAATTATGAAACGAATGGATGGAACTTACTCTGAGTCGGAGGGAATCCACAGGAGGCTGAGCGAATGGTATGCCCATGAAGGCCTCAAACTCCTCGCCCTGATATCCTGGCATGTGGGTGCCC